GGGACATGACTTAGCAGAGGGTTGCTAGTTAGGGTAATATGGTTAGGTTGCAGTTAGACTCGATGATCTTTAAGGTCTTTTCCAACCCAAGCAATTCTATGATTCTATAATTCAAGCTCTGCTCCCAAAGTGTAAATACAGCCATGCTGAGGAATACAATGTTCTTCAACATTTTTAAATGTTGGGTTCTTTTGTTGTGCACAGCCAAAGTTTAGCGTGTTCCCACACAAAAGCAAGACTGAGAACATGAATACTTCGTCACACACAAGAAACCTGTGGCTTAGGCAAAACTGCAGCATTCCTACCCAACTTCCTAAAGCACACATACTGAACAATGAGCTTGCTCTTTTACTGATGAGCCTTGCGATTTGCAAGGGATGTTTCAAGGAAATATTATTCTAAAGTATAAGTATACTTATCATTTGAATGAAGAATAGCCCCAGTTCCTTGTTTCCTGCTGTCTCCCATCTCCCAAGTTGCCTAGCAGTTCAGATTCGTAAGTACTAAGCATTTCAGGCTCATCAAGGTTTCTAAATATACGCACACGATGATCCCAACATTCCACTTTCGGCTTATCAGGACACAGCATGCTTAACTTCTAGATAAATACAACTGACCTCTAACGTTCAGAGATGAATCCTTTCATTGTGCAGCTGACTAGCAGCAGAGTACGTCCAAGTCTCACATTTTCAAAGCCTGACTACTCAGCCTCTCTCCTTGGGGCAGATGTGATGTTGCATGTCAGAGCTCACACGAGTATCGCTTCATGCATGATCAGAGGAATGCTGTCTGGTGTGTGAGGACTTTGCCAGCATGCAGCCCTGTAGCTGGGTGCTACCAGTAGAGTACAATAAGGAAACAGCCCAGAAGCAATGCCATAAAAAGGATTACTTATCAAAAACGACTCTGCAAACATGATGTCATGCACATTATGTACAGCCTTGCAAGCTCTCCATACATGCTTGCAGTGCTCAAGCACTCTCTTGGGACATGTTTTTCATGATGTTACAGTCTCCTGCTAAGCTGTAAATTCAGCTCAGTGTTACTACACTCATGTCCCACAGTGCCTTTTACCTGCACAGCTGACTAAATTCTCCATGTGGAACCAAGTTCCACTTCCCCTTGGAGAAGCAGGTCTTCAAAGACACGGCTGTCTTGCCAGCTCTGCATTCTGAAGTTGCACAGCAATCCCTCTGGGTATTCATTCAGTCACCAGAGGGAAATAAATGCATGCTTACTTGCAACTAAAAGAAAAACAAGCAGTCTACATAGAAATGCTTTATAGGTAGTAGAGCATTCTGTATTCCTCAAGTGGCTCCTTCCTTAAAACCTGAAGTCTGTGGACAGGACATGACAGGACTTCAAAGAATGTCATAACATTGATCAGAAGAAAGATGAGGATATGCAAAAACTGGATGAGCAATTACATTCTGTTACTCAGTTGAAATACTCATCTCTTGCATTATGCAACAGTATCTGCAAGCCTATGGTTGATACAACTGCAAACCAGAAATGTGTCAGATATCACTTATCCAAACACACAGATGTTTGCCTTAACCAGCAGTGGCTAAGCTGCACACCAGAGCAGTATCTTGCATTGCACCTTTTGTCCTAGCAGATAATGCCTGTTAATACAGTCTGCCAGTCTGGTGACCATGTCATCATTCAAAACTCTGTTCCTACTTGAAGTTACTTATATACAACCAGGCAACACATCAGTTAAACAAACCAACCATTTAAAAAAGCACCAGGCTGAAGGGAGGTTGCTAGACTGACCCTTGAGGAGTACTTTTAGGCTAAACCTAAATGAAGAACTTTATTAACAGTGTTGGGGAAAGAGAAGGAGGTGGTGTTTGTTAATGTTACTAATCTGAGAGATGTCTCATGTCAGGGCACACAAAAAAATGTGTTCTACATATACTAAGTTCTGATATCTGCATATGATATATGTATGATATATGTATGATGTATGATGATATATGTATAGCAGAACAAAAACGTGTCAGCAAGCAGAGCTGCACTGAACAGAAGTTGCAGACACATGTATTCTTGATTTGAACTGAATCCAGAGTGGCTCCTCTGGGCCACACTGTCTGCCTCAGCATCTTCTGAATGAACCTGGGAATAAAGAAATCTTGGAAACACCTAAAACTTCAGTTAAACAATTCAATTCTCCCATGCTATGGGGTGGATTCCTAATCCCTCCAAAGCCCTCGCTGAGCAGCTGGCAGACACAACAGGCTGTGGGACTGACTTCAGCAGAAGGACTCTCTCTGGCTTCATTCAGCTGTACCAGCCGACATGTGGCACACACCCAGCTCCAGTCCTGCTAAACTTTTTCTGGGTCAGAAGCTTTTTGAGGGGTGTAAGAAGGTAATTCAGCCACAAAACCTCTACTTAAATTGCCCCATTGCCAAGCTGTCCCCTTCTGCCAGGGCAGAGGAGCTGCACTTCCATCACACTCTATGGCACATGCGACCCTCATCCTAAAGACCAGTAACAAGCAGGGAGGTAAGCCCTGGTTTCAGGAACATGATCTGTGGCTGGCTGGCTTCACCTGCTGGCCAAAAACCCTGCCAGTAGCCAGGTACCAGTGTGGATGTTGAGCGCAATTGAATGCGTGTGGGCAGGGGCAAGGAAACATTCATTGTAACATTGCAGAGGGCAGAGAAGAGATTTCCAAATTGTCCTAAATATCCACCGATTTAATCAGCAGCGACAGGACATAATCAGAAATGAGGACATGACCTGGAGGTATATCTCTTGCAGTGAAAGGGAAAAGCAGACTGTAACGCGAATTGACCAACAGAAGAGCAATGAAACTAAGGGAAAAGATTGGCTCATCAACCTGGTGGCATCCAACAAAACTGACTCTTCCCTCTAAAAACCTGGAGAATGTACAGTATTTCTCCTCTTCCCCAACAAGTAATTATATGGCTTTAAACTGAAATGCACTGTACTCGGCATTATTAACACAAGGGAGGTGCTCACCTGAGAAAGTTTCCTCATGGAAACTTTCCTCTCTCTCTCACACATACATAATATTTCATTGAAATTATGCAGCTGTCTTACTCACCATGCTATGAATTTTATCAGATATTTTTACTATACAAAAGCTTCACCCTGCTAACTTGGGCTCTTGCTGAGTCAGCCAAGGCAAAAGAAGCACCTTAGGCTCTCTCAAAGGTGACTGTGAAGAAGAGAAGGCCTGCCCAGCATAACCATTCTGAGCAGATATCCCTTTCCCCACTTACAGTTGAGAGCCTCTACACTGGATGTCTGGAGAAGAGGAGGCTCTGGGAGACCTTATTGCTCTCTACAACTACCTGAAGGGAGGTTGTGGCGAGGTTGGAATCACCCTCTTCTCCCATGTAACTAGCAATAGGACTAAAGGGAATGGCTTCAAGTTGTGCCAGGGGAGGACCTTATCCCCCCCAGTGACATCAGTGGCATTCAGGCAGTGACAGGTCACATGGCAGAGGGCAGCTTTCAGTCTCCTACCTGTTGGCACAGCTTACAGTTCTCAAGGCTGAGCCAAAACAAGACAGTTGATTTCTTTAGGCTGTTTTTACAGCTTGAAAGTAAACTCCGGGGCTGTAAAATCTCAAATATTTGCAAGCTGATTCACAAGTCAAAGTGCTCCTTGCCTGTCTCTAATCCAGCAATTTGCAAACAAAGTCCAACCATTCTGCCTATGTTTAAAGAAAAACTCAGCTCCTATATGGTGTATTCAGTGTAAAAGGTATTTTTTACACTTGGTCAAATAATTTTGAAAACTCTTACAGCTTTCTTTCCCAGAGTCTTTCTCTTCTGTTCAGAAGGGAGCAAAAATGAAAAAAAAAGATACGCTTTTAAAAAAATCTTAAACCAAACCAGAGAAATATAGCATCAGTCTTTATGCCTCTGACCAGCATTTAGCTGACACTGTCATACTGTACTCAGCCTCCAACCACCTGGGAAAGACATCTGTTCAAAAGCAAAACTGGGCCAACAGCGAATTTCAAAGTTTCCTTATAGAAAAACAAGTTTCTCAACATGGCTTTACATTGAGGGTATAGCTGCAGACATTCCCATGCAATGCTCGTGGGAATTCCTGACAAAGTCATTCTTCCTTTAGAACTAAATTCCTGGAACGTATGTTCCCAAATATACTTTCTAAGAGAATAACACATAGCTGTGCTCGATGTCTGCTTATGGTTTTAAGCTAGTCCACACACATGGTGAGATTCAGCTTATATACAAGGCAAAATTCAGCAAGTAAGCTCCTGCTGCAAAGCCAGGCATCCAGGCAAGAGAATGTAGGGAGCTGCTGAGCTGACCAGATGTAAACGCCATCTGTACTTTATGGTGTGCTGTACAGTCCTCAAGGCTCTACTGACCAGCCTAGCTAGATCCTGTAATTGTTTATAAGAGCTGTGATAAGAAAGTCACATGCACACACAGACAGGGTGACATTTGTTTGCCTTGCTGTGCAACTGCTGCATGGACAGTACCCAAGGCACGCCTGCCCAGAGGTCTCCTGCCTAGCAGAAACCCACACCACCTTGCAGCTACTTCTGAAGAAAGATCATGCTGCCTCCTGCCAAATCACTGGGAATCACTGCTGCAGGCTTAGCACTAAAGCTGTGTGCATCACCCATTTTCGTGCCCTGCAATCACTGCTTCAGCTGTGCTTCAGCTCATATTCCTGCAAGCAGAAGTGCCAAATCCCAGACACCATCCAAGTCCTGCTCCCCAGCATCACACTGGCATAGGAAGACACCTACCAAACAGGTATAAGCAGGGAGTGAGAAATAACAAAACCAAGGCAAAAATCTGACTGCAGACCATACAAGTTTGGCCTGTGTGTTGTCTTTGACTTGTTTCCAGGTCCCTAAAATGTCTTCAGTCTACATAAGTCAATTTAACACCTAAAATCTTAAAAAATGGACTAAAATGCAAAGATCAAAGAAAAGCCAGGCTTTGGTATACAAAGAAAACTGTGTAAGCTATTAGCATACCAGGCAATATTCTTCCAATAAGGGCATCTAGCAACCAAAAGGACTCCTCTTCATTCTTTGTAATAAGAATCAGGTATCCAGCTATGAAATTCATGCCCTGAAAGAGAAGAATTTTAAGATGCAGACATTTACCTTAAGAGTTTCTAAGTCATTTCTTTCGATTATGGGCTAAATGACTGCCATTCTACACAGTTGAAGTCTAGTAATAAAGGGCACTGGTTGAATAAGCTGTTAAATCTCCATGGTGATGACTACCAAGAATTATTTTAAAAAGCTCAGAGAGAGAAAATTGAAAGAAAAAACTTAGTAGTATATGATTTATTTCCAATTTTCCCTTAAAAAAATAATAATCCCAAAGCCCTGTCCCAGTGCAGTCGATGTGTGTTCTGGCCAGAACCAAAACATGGCTGAAGTGGATGTACAACACAACCATAACACACCTGCAGGTGGACCACGAATCTGCAGTAGAACGTTTGAGCCAAAGGCTCCTGAGTAAAAAGTTGGAATTTCATAGCTTTAATGAGCTGTTGCTCATATCCGCCATAACACTGCTATAGCAATATTACTAATTTACTTTCTTTCTATTCCTCAGCTTTAAGTTGTCTCAAGTATGTCTGTTCTGCTGCAAATAAGACAATACTTACAACAATACAGAAAGCAAACTAGCATGACAATTTACAAAAGATGTCCCTGAGGTGCAAGCTCCCCTGGAAATCTTCCTAGGCTAGCAGAAAATTACATTATCTTTAAATATTTACAGGCTATGAAAGCTAGTGCTGGTTACATTGCCTTCTTCAGTTTCACCCCTTTATTCATCTTTCTCCCTGCTCTCTCCCATTCTAAGCTCAGCTTCTGCAGCATTGCCAGTGGCTACAGGCAGCAGCGCTGTCACGGCTCTGAGGAGGATGACAGCCACCAAGAAGCCAGAAGCTTGTATGGAAACCAAGATCTCATTTCTTCAATTCACCTGCCCCACTACAGATGGCCTTGTAGCATTCCCAGAACATGGAAATATTATGATACTGCACCCTACCCAATGGCTCATTTTCAAGCATTGAGTCACTGCAGCTCAGACAGACCTTGCACGGCCTTACACGGTGCTTGGCCTCTTAGCCAAGACATCAACTATTCGTTTCTAGGCTGATAGCTTAGTAATTGCATCCATCTATGGTGACAAAAGTCTGCTTGGCATTTAGCACTGCACACACAGAAAACTCTTAAGCGTAAATTCGCAGGGCTCTGAACTTCAGTGGTTCTACCAGGGCAGGCAGTGCCATGCCCCTGTCTCAGCAAATACCAGAAGTGCACTAGCATGCACTCAGCAAAGAGTCTTCAGAGGGCAAAAACTGCAAAATTCTACTTATTTATGTCATGCCTCAGAAAGCAGTTGCTGACATTTGGTTTAGGTTCTGTTTGCAAAGCAGACTCTTCACAGTTCTATATTTTCTGTTGTTCACATAACATTAAACATTTTAATAAATATACAATACCGAGAGCAATAAAATTGAAAAAATCATGCATTTTTTATTGCCATGTTTCAAACAATCTCTGTGTACAGTTGGTTAGCATACATGAGGTTTAGGTTTGCATTTGTGTCTTCAGTGCAGAAGGGGAAGAGAACAGAGGGCTTTATAAGTGAACCTCAAACAAACAAATTTTCTTCCCACTTGCCACCTATACTAGGAGAAGGCACCAAAAAAAAAAATACATATAGTGATCACATACCTGACAATATCCTACTGCTTTATTGTGATGTCCATATGCCACCAGTACATTGTAGAGTGTATGCTGCAAGCAGGGATCAGCCGTTTTACGGAATTTTACATTATCAGGAAATGTTCTGTTCATGTCTAGACAGAAGGGAAAAAAGACCAAATTTAAGAGCTGTTCCTTCCTTTGCCTTCCAGAGAAACTGTTGCAGCTTTCCTGAAGTACAATCAAAACCTCATTAAATCGTGGTTTTGGTGGATGAATTTTAACAAGGAGCAGCTTTACCCCTATTTTGGCTAAAAGGCAATCTGCATTTGCAGATAATCTATTCCTAGAAAGACTAATCTTATTAGGGTACAGAAATCAATTCCAGGAGGACTACAGGAATTCTGCAGAACAGATTCTCTCGTGGTCTGACTGCAAAGGCTAAATGAGAGCAAACCACTCAGGTCAATAAAAAACAATTTTATTGAGCCAAATAGCACAAAATGAGCTGCAGCTTTAGGAAAGCATATTCCATAACAAACCAAATGATCAGTTGACTTATCACCCAGGGGGCTTCCACCAAACATTCCCAAACTATTAAAAAAATAAACAAATAAAAGACCTATTGTTGCAACTGATCACTTTCATTTGAAATCACAGTTTCTTTGAAGTCTGGTTTTGTTTTGATTGTTTGGGGGTTTTTCATGATTTTTTTTTTCCCCTAGGACATGACAATTAGACAGTCTGTTCCTTTCTTTGTGCAAGATCACTGAGAAGGAGACTGTGCACATCCCACATGCTTAGCTCAATGCTGAACCAAGGACTATGCAATTATTAACATTTCAAAACACTCATTTCTTCCAGATCAAACATGAATCTTTACAAAGGACCGTAAAAAAGGGGTGCAGGTTTGAGCCAGTCACTCCAACACTCTTTAGTGTTTAGAAAGAAACAGCAGAGTTAAGTTTTAGCCAGCATCACCCTATAGAGAGGTGAGCAAAGGTTACTCAGTCCACTTGCACATCTGATCTGTAGAAGCACAAGTTGGGGAGAAAAATTGTATTTAAAAGCAATGTTACTATGAAGATTTTCAAAACCTGAGACATTAATAAAAAAACAGTTATGTTAGTTATATTTAACAAACATAAAAGTGAGATACAGTAAGCAAAAAAAAAAAAGTTCAGAGTGAACATTACTACACAGATATTTGTGTCCTATGAGTTATCAGACATTATCAGCTGTTTCTGTATAAAGGACAAAGTCTATCACAGCCTTGACACAAACTGAAGCTGCAAGCAACTAAAAGGAGTCCCTCAAAATCATGATTAGTCTGATGGAAATCAAAAGCATTAAGAAGTCATCACACAAATCATCTTTTTTTTTTTCCTTTTAAAATCAATAAATCATTTACAGAAATGGGAGGGTTAGAAAATATTTCACCTCCCATGTGACTTGCAAGAAAAGCACAAGGAAGAAGATAATTTTAAAAGAACTTGAGCAGCAGCCAGGCAGTTATAGGATAACTATGTTTGTTTTGTTTCCTCTTGGTAGGAAGAGCAGCATTGTATTTGCATAATCAGAATAATTTGTTGTTTATTCAAGTATATGCTGGACTTCACAGAAAAAAATGAAAGCCGACATTTCAGCTGTGGCTCTTCCCAACAGCTGTGCAGAGTAAGGATGAAGAAGGAGTAGGAAAAGTCCAAACAGAGCAGAGGCTGACCTAACTGAAGTCATCTTCAATTTCACAACCTGGGAAGGTCTATAGAGAATCAGTTCTATTTGCTGTCTGATCCCAGAGCGTGTTTTCTTTGTAAATAGAGCATGAATTGCACAAACTCCATTCCCTCTCATCTCCAAACGAACTGGAGAAAGGCAACAAGGAGGATTGCAGGTAAGGTACTCTGAGGAAGCATCACTACACACTTTTCCCCTCCAGCTCTTCCTTCAGCTATTTTGGCAGACAGACAAGGTGAGGAAGCCATTTGAGCATGATCTGTTAGAGCTTCTCTCACACAGAGCCCAAAGAGCTAACACTGTTGCCTCCTAAGTGCCCTGAACTTAGTGAGTGTTCCCAATCCTCACTAACAGGTCAACTTCGCTCAGAGAAACTTATTTATGGTTTGAGAGTAAAATGTCCACTGTCTCCAGTGAAAAGTCAACAGCAATTGCCTGCATCACTTTTTTGAACCTGTTAAAATGATCCCACAGGCACCATCTGACCCACACAGCCACGTCCTCACACCAGAGGTCATGAGGCATCATATAGGCCGAGGGGACTGTGAGTTTCTCACCAATGCAGCTCCTCTTCATGAAATGCAAGAGTATAAATGTGGCTGCTAGCTGTGTGTGTACATGAGAGGACTTGCACACACTATGGACTTACCTGCAATTCAATGGCCTCGTCTTGAATTGGAGTATTTTCCAATGGCACTCACTGCAAGCAAGCCATATTAACTTACAGCCAGACCTCTCTGTAATCAGCCCATAGCCTTTGCATCAGGAGGACAGCCACATTTTATCATACCAACATCAGTTGTCCTACAAGATTTACTATAATAGGGCATGAACAACAAAGCTCAGTAGGAATGCATTCCCTTCTAAATATGTACGAATGCTGAACTATGAAAGTTTCCATCAGAACTTAGAGACAGGCATTATTTAAGCTCTTAAGTTTAAGATATCTTCTCTCTCCTGTACTTCTCCTGTTCCAACAGCAAGTGTCATAAAGCAAAAGCAGCAATAAAGTTCATCAATTAAGAATCAGCAAGTTGAAGAGGGGAAGGTAGAAGACAGTTTAAGATTAACTGCTATTAATAATCAGATTTTTCTTCAAAACTAAACCATTTCTCTGTACAGCTCTGCATCTATGCTGCACTGGGGAGGCCCAGGCCTGGACGCAGTACTCTGGATGAGGCCTTACAAGGGCAGAGCAAGAAGGAAACAATCACCTCCCTCTCCCTGATGGCCACCCGTCTTTTAATGTAGCCCAGGACACCACTGGCCTTCTGGGCTGCAAGAGCACACTGCTGGCTCATGTCTAGCTTTTCATCCATCATGACTCCAAAGTTTTTGTCAGCAGGGCTGCTCTCTAGGAGTTCATCTCCCAGTCCATACTGGTAACTAGGAACACCCCAACCCAAGTGCAACACCCTGCATTTGACCTTATTGAACCTCATTAGGTTCTCATGAGCCTGCTTTTCAAGCTTGTCCAGGTCCCTCTGGCAACTTAATTGATGGCAACTTAATTACATCCCACTGAAGACATTTCCAGACTGCAAGTAAATTCCAAATGTAAATGAAAATTGCTTGGAGCTTCTGGGCACATAAAAGGAACAGGAAACATTGGCTTTTACACGTTTTCCAAAGAATTTGAAGGAAAGTCTACGGTTGGCTGTGCCCTCCCAACCCTCCTCCTGAAATAAGAGGAAAACATGGTTGCTCTTCCCTTATTTCTAAACCTCAGCATTGAGCTGTCCTATTACTTTACAGCTAGACTACAGGACTGCCTGAAAATTTTGGAAACAGCAAACATGAGAAGTGAATGGCAAAACAACTGCACACCTTAATTTAGCTTTCTCTTACAAAGAACCACTCTGAGGGGAAACCAACACAGGCAAAACGTACTGAATGTCAGGCAACAACTTACATTGAAATAGTCCCCAACTAAAGCCCACAATAATAAAATTCATACAGTCAAGAAGATTACTGAGTTAAACATAAAATTTCCATTCACTTTTAATACTTCTCTCCTTTAGCTCTCATATGTTCACACTGCTGTTTCATTTCTAAAGAAAAATTATCACTCTGAAGTACCAAGTTCTTTCCCTTTTTCTCCCCTCCCCCCCCTTCAAATAAAGCCCTCCAACCCATTTTTCTTATATCCCATTCCCTCACTTGAGCAGCAGCCAGGCAGTTAAAAGATAACTGAGAAAAGAAATTGCTTCATCTCTCTCTTGCAGCAAATACACTTGACTGAATACATTTTGCTCCTTCTCCTGGCCCTTAGCAAGGCTGGCTATAGAAACTCAACGTTGTAGCTTTCTCTGTATTCACAAAATTAGAGTTCTGCTGTTTCTAGCTCTGAGCAAGATATGAACCAGAAGATTTCTGGCTACTCTTTGCATATGCAGGAATGTGAAAAATCATGTTCCAAAATGCCTTACTAAGGTGTGTAGCCCCAAAAGCTCGTGGTGCTGCTGTGGAGTAGGAACTTGGCATAAAACAAGAAGAGTTTCTATGCTTATCTAACTCCAGATAAAAATCAGTAAAGCCTCAATTTTAACTACCTGGCTTTTTCAAGATGGAAAAAGGCAACAGCAACCTCTTCTGCCATTCTCATGAAATATCCTCATCACTGTGCTTGCTACTCTTCCAGGTCCTTTGGGGAAGGAAGACAAAGGCAGGTCTCAAAGTAACTCATCATTCACCTAGGAGATGATGTAATACTTTCTAGTTTGTTCCCAAATAATTTCTAATCTCCCTTACTGTTTTTGACCACATGATAATCCTCGGAAGAACTGTACTGGTAAAGAGCTTACAGCTAATCTAATTTACATGTTAGTTCACCACTACTACCAAAACCTAAGTTTTCCATCACATATTTGATCTACATTTGAAGGGCACAGCACAGCAGACAGACAAAGGTTTTGTTATCAGGACAATGACCTGTTTTGATTGCTTCAACCAGCTTGTCATTTTTCTCTTCTTCAAGCAGTCTCTGGTAGTATCCAGGGTTTTGCTCCATGTTGGTTTGAGCCCCACTCACGATCATCCAGATCAATGCACGGTGTTCGTTGGGAATGCCTTTCCTGATATATCTCTTCACTGAAAAACAACATGATTTTTTTTTAGTTTATTTATTTTCAAAATATTTCCACTTATACTTCTCTTTCGGAATGAGCAAAGGAAAGTTTATAAGTCAAAGGGAAACTCTTGACTAAAGATTATTATGCTTTCAAACCTACGCTACCAATTAGGACAAACATTTTCTTCTCAGCTACACAGTATGTTTTAGACTCACTCCTAAGTTCTTGCCACTTTGACTCCCCACACTGATCTTCAGTCCCAGCCCTCTGTCCCCCGTAAGGATTTTGAATCTTTTCCAGCTTTCTGGATGGAGATATAAACAGCAATCTTTGTCCTTCTTCATTCAGGGAAGCACCATCTTTGATCTCTCCCTAACATCCTCCAACATGATACGACTGTTTGCTTGGTTATGCTCTAGCACAAATGGCTATGTTAACATAATGCTGGGATTTCAGCTTAGACCTAAGGGCTGAAACCTTAGCAGACAAAGATACATATGAAAGAGGATGCTACTGTCTAAGCTTCAGAAGCGATAAAAATGTGAGTGAGCAGCAGGTTTTTCTTCCCAGAATAACTGGGGAAGTCTTTTCAAATCTAAAATAGCTGTTATCACCTGCATCGTACCATTCTTTTTGTTTGTTTGATTCTTAATTCAAGAAGATGATTCAGCATGAACATCCAGGATGCAAGACTGCAGGAAGGTGTATCAGGCTATTAACAGCCAAAGCAGTTTCCTCCTGGGAGTGGAATGAAAGACATTAACACAGAGCCAATGCTGGTAATTAATTCATAATCCTAAACCTTAATGATCCAAAAAGATAGCCAAGCACTTGAGGTCCTCTAGCTTTTTCCAGGGAAAAGAAACTGACAAAGGCATCAGATATTTCTTACTAAAAGAATGGGACTTGAATGAGAATGAGGAATTCTTTGTTGTTCCACACAATAGCAGCACCTAGCCTCCTTATATCCAGTCACACAGATCTGTAACTCAAGATAAACAGTATCTGAATTAAAGGCAACTGGCCTTACAAACAGCAGAGTGAAAGAAGAATTTACAAGAACTCAGCCAGTGACTTTCTATATACATACACCTTATTTTAGCCCACTATTTTCCAGGACTCCAAACTGCTTTCTCAGTGTCAGTGGAGAGATCCATGCATCTTTAATGGGCATTCCAGCCACCTAAAATCTGGTACCTTCAGAGAAATGTTCCTGCCCTTCACATTTGCAATAAACACCTGGTTTTCAAGCTGCAGTTTTTGTTTAGTGATCCCATGAGTGTTTATAGCATGGGTAATAGTCTCTCCTGTTCCAGCTATAATGTAACTAACCACAGCCTTCTATTAGACAGACTGGAAATAATTCTTAAGTTTCCATGTTTCGTAATCCCCACTTCATATTTTTTACAACATTTTGATCTGTGATGCTCAATAAATCCTATAGACAGGCACAGCAAATGTAGGAATGCATCTGAGGAACCCCATTTTGGTCAGTGAAATGTCCAGATGAGCCTGCAAATGCTTCTAAGAAGCTCAATGACTGGGCAAATTACTGGGTTATCATATTGTAACACATAAATTTAGACGGTACTTTAACAGCTATCAATTCTGAAGAGAGAGCCAGCATCCACATCCAACAACATGACATGGTAAATTCAGAGTCGAGGGGATGAGCCTTTGACCTCGGCACAAGGGGAAAACAGCCCTGCAGCAACGCATACACTGTTATCCCTCAGTGTCACCATCCACATGACAATAGGTGGCCAGAGGCTCATATCAGCCCAGGCAATTGCCTATCCCAGCTTCCCCACATGGTGAAGGGTAGAAAAAAGCTCACCAGGAAAACAATAATTCTTTACCTTTTTGTCACAAAATAAAGTTGTATTTACCTTTTTTTTTTTTTTTTTTCCTTCCCCTTTACACTGCTTTGCTCTGCATCACAGACAGACTGAGCCTGCAAATGCTCCAAGCATAGCTGATGAGTACATTACTGGGCTATCTTACTGTAATACAAATTCAGATAGTATCTGTTTCTGGAACAGTTATCCCTTCTAGAAGCAGAGCTAGCATCCACCTCCGAAAGCATCACACATTAATTCATAGAATTGGAGATGAGTCTGACCTTGGCACAAGGAGAAAGCATAGCAGGATGCTTTTCAAAAAGGCCCCAGGAGAACTCAAAATAACAAGATGGGTTCACAGATAAATCTTCTGGGCCTTAGCGGGAAAGTGGCAAATCAAATTATGCAGGAAAATACCAGCTAAAAACAAAAATTATCTTGCTGATAACATTAGAAGAGTGTAAAAAGCATCTGCATGTTACAGTTACGATTCAATGCTGAGGAAACTAACTCAGACCCTAGAGAAAAATTCCACAGCAGAGCTGAAAACAGCTTCCCAAGAAGGAATTGAAAGTTTCGTTTTATGAACACACTGAGAAAGAAACAAAGCAGATCTGTGCTGTAAGCATTCAAGTTGCTCTCAAACATACAAACTGACTTTCTAAGATGCTCCTTCCTTCCTCCAAGCCCTGCACAGGAACAGAAGTGCTCCTGTTACAATCACTGTTTTGTACCATCCCTTTCACTTTTCGCTGTGTTTTAACAACCTCCAAGACCAGAAAGGCACCTTTTGCTACTGGCCAGCTTTGCCCAGTGCACTCATAAGAGAACACAGACAGCTCTCCTACACAGCATACTTTTGGCCAGAGTTAAACTCCTTTGGGTGATTATGTCTGATAGTTTGGTTGTCTTTTGGTCCCAGGAAGATAGAAGTCAAATGGATGGAAGCAAAAATTAAGTGGACCTCAGCAATGAAGGAGATCAAAATAGTTGTTAAGGGACCAAATACCACCTAGAAATGTGCATGTGTATAGAAGTCATTGTGGCTAAGGGCAGAAAGCGAAACAAAACACCACCAAACAATATGAAGGAAGAGACTGGAGAATGAGCAAAGGGAGCTATCAGCCAAAATACGCATGGCCCGCCCTGCCAGAAGGCTGTGATCCAGAACAACAGGATACACTCCTTAATTATCCTCGTTAAAACGTAGTCTAATTACTTTTATTTACAGTAGAACAGAAGCACATACATACATACCACACAGGGCATGACAGCAGCACGTGAACACACCGCATTTCCAAACTGGAAAATTAGCACAAGTCATCACTTCTTCCTGTTCACCTAAATCACCCTGCTCAGAGGAATTCTAAGCTTCTCTGTGTGTAAAGAGAAATGGGTGTGGAGCCGCAGAGCTGCCTCACTCATGGCTAGCCATAGCAGGATGCCTTTTAAAACAGCCCCAGGAAAACTCCAAGTGAGGATATGGGTTTGCAGATACATCTATTGGGTTTGTGGGGGAGAAAGCACTCCTCAGTTATCTGGAGTACTGCATCCAGGCCTGGGGCCCCCAGTACAGGAAGGATGTGGAGCCCTTAGAGCGGGTCCAGAAGAGGGCCACTAAGATGATCAGAAGGCTGGAGCACCTCTCCTATGAGGAAAGCTTGAGGGAACTGGGCTTGTTTAGCCTGGAAAGGTGAAGGCTTCAGGGAGACCTTACTGTGGCCTCCCAATGTGTGAAGGGAGCATATAAACAGGAGGCAGAACGGCTGTTTACAAGGGTGGATAGTGATAGGATAAGGGGGAATGGTTTTAAACTGAGACAGGGGAGGTTTAGGTTGGATATGAGGAGGAAGTTTTTCCACACAGAGGGCGGTGACACACTGGAACAGGTTGCCCAAGGAGGTTGTGGATGCCCCATCCCTGGAGGCATTCAAGGCAGGCTGGATGTCGCTCTGGGCAGCCTGGTCTGGTGGCTGGTGACCCTGCACATAGCAGGGGGTTGAAACGAGATGATTGTTGTGGTCCTTTTCAACCCAGGCCATTCTATGAGTCTGTGATTCTTGCTTATGGCTGACTTCTGCAGCAAGGAAGTTGATCAGAATCAGCTCCTGAGCAAAGCCTCAGAGCAAGGACCCTCATTTTGGAGGAGTGAAACTCAACAAAAGCACAGAGATCTCTTGTTCTCTGGCTTCCCACAGGGTCATCCTCCAGGGCAGGGCGCACACCAAAGCCACTACTTACATGATTCTCTGTGCATCTGCCACGTACCTTAATACTGGTATCAGAGGGGAAGTATTTAAATCAGTAATGGTACAGGTTAATCTGCTGCTCTTTTCCCTCAAGGTAGCAGCTAAGGATAACAAGGGAGCTATTTTTTAACAGCTTTAAATTTACACTCAGACCACATTTCCCCAACACTGCTTATTCCAGTTGTTCTCCTTATAATTACATGAGAATGCACAGTTGACAAACTGAAGTACCCTTTGCTAAAATTAATAATGTCAAAGATGACACACCAGCACAAAGGGGCTTGCTACCATCAAGGCTGCCTGCATCCTCTTAGGGGATTTAATACATCCCATTTCTCACACACTGCTGCAGACCTTTTGAAAATACAATACAGTAGCCTGTTACTGAAGACTGACACAATATTAATGGTTATTACATTAATGGTTGTTAGTGGAGGGGCAGCATGACTACTGCTACTGGAGCCTAATGGACAAGCTAAGAGAATTAGTCAAAGTTTCAGCTCTAAAACAATGCCAAAGGCATTCACATTCCTGTGTCACAGGAGTGTGACAAGGCTGGAACAGGCTATGTGAGAGGAGAGAGATGTGACCAACTCACAGATATTACTGAAGGTTGCACCTGTCACAGTTCACACATTTTAAGAAAATAAGGAAACAATTTTTCCACAATCTTCACTAACTCAAAATACTGCACAGTTACCATTATATTAAAATTTAACACTGAGTAAAAGCTTCTTTATATTTGCAAGAAAAATAAGAGAGTAGTAGTTACTTTCAGGTAACTGGGCACTGGAACAGGCTGCCCAGGGCAGTGGGCACAGCCCTGAGCTGCCAGAGTTCAAGGAGCATTTGGACAGCACTCTCAGACACAGGCTTTGAATGTTGGGTAATCTTGTGTGGAACCAGAAGCTGGATTCAATGATCCTTGTGGGTTCCTTCCTACTAGGGAAATTCTATGAGTCAATGATTTAGCAACTATAGCTTAAACCTACATTTTCTGGTGATCCTCAGCCTCAAAACTGACATCGCTCCATACACTGTTCCACTTAAGATGTCTAACTTGTTATCACTTCATTATTGGTGCCAAGGAAAGAAAAAAAGAAAAAAAACAACAACCAGAATTAGCACTCAGACTGTACCTGAGGCAGAGCTTTGAACATTCCACTGTATTTGTCCTAATTCCTTCACTCTGTAAAGCGTTTAGCTGCAGTTCTCTGTACACATCCTTTGAGCAGAAAGGTAAATGTTGTTTTACAAAAGGAAGAATGTGAAAACTTCAGCAACCTAAAAGCTGTCAGCAACTGCTCTCCTGGCAGAGCCCTCACACCCTTATCCTGGGGCTCACAGACTCTGCAGCATCACACATCTTTTCAAAGAACACCATGCAACAACAGCTGCACACCAGCATCTGGAAGTTCCCGTGGCTGTAATCTCTGGGTTACAGATGTAATAAGATATTATCATGTTTGCCAAAGAAGGATTACTCCTTTGTAAGCTTTAAATCAAACCAATGATCTCCCTAACAGCAGCGTATTCGCTTACGTATCATTACTGTTTATAATAAGAAAATAGTATACAACATTCAAAAGCCCAAACCAATGCAGTTTATACAGGTTCCAACATAACGCACGATTACCTACAAGTAACCACACCTTTTAAACTCTTCTGTATGCTGTTTTTCCCCTTCAGGAGCTTGGACCATTTTATTGCTCTTCTGGTGAGCACCACGAGGTATCTGGAAAAGAACGCTTCGTAGGATGCGTAATCAAAGTCGTCTGGCCTCTCAAACCCATACGGATCAACCCTGTAAAACAAAGCATTCTTGCACAACTGTTCCTACATACCTACAGTTGGGGGAAAAAATAATAATAATAATAAAAAGCTATAATGCTTCAGATAGCTTCCAGCTGCTATTCCCAAAAGCGGCCAAAAAATCTCTCAACCCAACAAAAGCCTGCTGTACACACGCCGTTAAACGCCTTTGATACCTGATGTGGAACGTACGTCAGCGAAGTGAAACACGCACTGCACAGCCAGTTCTACACATTTCACTACTTCTAGGAGTTTTTAGAGCAAAGGATCCGTTCTGTGCAAAACTGACCCAGATGACTGCACAGAACCCTACCTCGGGCACTAATGGAGTCTCAGAGCCACCCCAACCTGGCTGTGTTTCAGCTGGATGCACTCCGGGAAGGCAGGCCGGTGGCACCTTCCCTCCCACGTCGCTTCACACCTGCTGGTGCTCACAGAACGACGGAATTTGTCCCCGCGCTGGCACCTGCACAGCGCTAGGTGTGCAGCGGAGCGAAACGCCGCACCGGCAGCCCTCGAACCTCCCGCAGGGGACAGGGGAAGCCCAGAGCAGGGGACGGCACCCGGCTCGCCTCCTCCCTCGGATCGGCAGAAAGTTGTCCAAACGGCGCTCCCCAGGGCCGCCGAGCCCCCCGCCCTACCTGTACGCCCACTCCCGGCCGTCCTCCAGCCCGGCCATCGGCCGTCCGCGCTCGGCCGCCTCCGGCCGGGAGCCTCCGGCGGGCTCTCCTCAGGCCGAGCAGCGCCGCCTCCGCCGCCCCATTCGGAGCTCCGGCCGCCGAGCGCAACTCCCCGACACGCTCCGCCGGTTGAGGGGCGGGGGCGGCCGCCGGGTTCCGCCTCCCGTGTGCCAGGGGCCGGGCAGGGCAGCTCCGCGCCCGGGGCGGAATCAACCGCCTCCACGGGGGCGGGTGTCGTTCCCCGGCCGTGCCCGTTCTGTGCCGGAGCAGCGGGCTGCCGGTGCGGCCGGGCTCCTCGAGGGAACCCCCCCCCCGGGGCGAGCGGGGCGGAGACGCGGCAGCTCCCGGCCGGAGGGTCGGCTGCGGTCCTCCGCCATTTCAGGGTGCGCAGCCTCTGCGCTGTGTCCGCCCTTGGCGTGGGAATCCTGGCCCTGTGTGCTTGTGTATAGTTCTGACTTGGCTGTCGTTTCTGAAGTATGGATGGATTTATATAATTGCATCTGAGCATTCAAGTCAGGTGTCTGGTTCCGGAGCCTGGAGGGAAGATCTCAAAATGAGTCCCACTCTTCAATAGTGTACCCAAATTTCAACACGCATCAGTGTGCTGAAAGTGCAGCTGACAAGTCCTTTATCAAAACCAGGATTCGGCCCTTGGGTAGATACCTTCCTAAAAGCCAGTCCTGTTGCTCTGGTGTACTTCATCCCACACAACTGCCACAAACAGATGTGGCTCTGATGCTGTTTGGGATGTATTTCCCATTTCTGTCACCTCCTGAACAAATGTCAGAGACCTCACTGTGAGCAAAGCATCTCACTAAAACACAGCGAGAAAAGCACCAACTGCCATCATTCTGACCAAAGGAATTTTCCCATAGCCGGTGAGAAGAAGTGGTTGCGTGTTTGGATTCATTCGGTTGGTTTGAACTATTTTTTTTCCCAAATCCTCAAACTCTGATATGCTCTTCCATTTAACTTCAATTCCCCAACATTGTTGTTACATTGAAATCCTATTAACTTTTGCTGCTGCTGGCTTTGTTTCCACCACAAACTAACCATCTACAAGGGCAGATTGCCAAAGGCATGTGAAGTATATAATAATACCACAAATATTAATCCCCAGAAGGGCTTCCCTGTTTCCTGAGCCCGCCCCTACCATCAGCACACTGATCCTCACCATCAAGGCATGGAGCAAACCCAAAGCTCACACAGACACTGTGCTGTCTGACTGCTGCAGAACAGGGCGGAGAGGAGAAAATTATCTTCCTGCTTGTCCTTATTTAATCAAGTTCTGACTTTGCACCAAGCAAGTGTTTGGAAAATTACAGCCACTGCCAGGGAAACATTATCTAGTTCAGACAGCAAATCATAGCTGCTGAAGACAACAGATGGGATTTCAGGAGGGAGATCAACAGTTGTTTCTTCCCAAAGCGCTCCTCAAGAAAGCTGTGTGGGATCAAAGGCACTCACCCACGCAGCAGTGTGGATGCAGCTCAGCTCCAGCAACGGGGAAAAACATACAGCTTTGTACTTCTTTCATCTGCCATCAGAGCAATGGGAAAGTTCCTGATTGCTCAGCTAAGCATAACGTTTGTCGTGAAGTCTGGGAAAATTCTGGGCTGAAGTGGGGCTGTGACCGTTCTGGCAGCAGGATGATCCCCCTAAATGACTGTGGCAGTTGCAGAGCTGTGAAGGTAGAGACACTGGCACTTTTGCCAAGCTCTCACATTGACATCCTGCCAGCTTTGCCTTGCCCAGCAGCCAGCTCTGCCCATCACTGTTCACTGGTTCACAGAGAGCTCACAGGGAGCTGGGGTTAGAGGGAGAAATGCTGTCCCATCAAGGGCATGGAGACCTGCTGCTTTCTCCCCAAAACCTAAAACCACAGGCTCAGTGGGCAGCTCAATTATGCTTCGTCTGACAAGGTTGGGCTCTGCTGTGCATCTTCCTTCTGAAGTGGTTCCATCAAAAACTTCCCACAAACAACAGGTTGCAGCTTTGATTAATTAAAGGCATACCTGCAGCACGTCAAGGATAGCCTTGTGTATACCATAGGTGTTTTACCATCAGCAAACTTTAAATACTATATACGTTTCCTTTTGCTTTGATGCAAGCAATATGGTATGCTCAAATTTATGCTGGTTTCTCACGAAAGCACCCATTAAACTTCACATAGCTCTGTTAGAGAAGCTATGTAGCATGTTAATTAATAGAAATAATTGCTACATTTCAGTGGTAAGTCACAGCAATAATTTCCTCTCCAAATATAATAATATGAAGCAATCCGCTGTCTGGCAAGAGAATACCTTGGTTGTCCTTTGTAGGGTGTCAGTGCTGCTCTCTTCTGGGCAGATCATATCACACTGTTTTAAAGGTATCCAAAGGTAAAAGAAATGAGTAAAATCTCAAATCTGAAAACTGCATCTGCTTGGTTCTTATCAGCAGGAAAGGACACCAGAGACATTTGATCCCTGACTTCAAAGTTTGCTGCTGACAGTGGCTGTGTTGCTACAGAAGGGCAGTTACAGTGCATTCAACCCAGTGAAGCACATTCTTCATTGCCATGTGGCACAAGGGGAATGATGTATCTTTTTTTTTTTTTTTCTTTAAACCTCCAGAACCATCCAGTACTGTATTCCTGAGGTTTTTACATCGTGGTGTGTTTATGTGTTAGGTAAAAATTCCCATCTTGCTGCTTGCCAGAGTAAGTCCTTAAAATAGTGACTTCCCTGTAAGGCTAGGCATGTAGGTCTGCTCTCTGCAGGGCAGACAAACACCGCCGAGTAGTGTTTCATGGGCATTCAAAGCTTTACTTGCCTGTACTGCAATCGCCCTGTATTTTAGCTAGAACCACTTCCACAGTTGCATTTGTAGAGCAGTTATTAAATAAAAATAGCAGCAACTTTTTCAACCTTATCGGGAATAATTTCAGGTAGCTTTAGGCTTTGCAGACCTGTGAGATGGACAACATGTATGAGATTCAGCCTGTAGCTTGTGTTGTTATGTGTGTTCACGTGGAGCACATGTTGCATATCTATTTGGAAGGACTGATTTTGGATTGTCTCCTCAGTTAGCAGGCTGAAAGGATGGGTAAGTGGGTGAACTGGCCTGGGGAAGATCTTGTCCCTTAGAAAGAGTGCGGAGCAGAGATCAGCAGTTCACCATGAGATATCACATGCAGCACAGCAGGGAAACTTCAAGGGATAAAATTACCCCTTGGCTATGAAGGATAACGTAGATCTCAGAGAATGAGGTTTTTCTTTTACAATACTTAAGTATCTGATAGCACGAACTTGGGATAAAAACATGTTTCTGAAATAAAATTTGAAATTGCCAGTTCTTAATGAATACATTGCTAGTACAAGTCTGTGGCTATTAACACAGGATTCTGTAGTAACAAAGCTGGCAGAGCATATTAGAGTAATGCAGTCTGCATTCAACAAAAAGTACAATAGCTTTAGGCAAAGTCTCCAGAAAATGTGACTACCTCTTTGCCATGAGCAAATATACATATGCACACCAAAAGATAGGTCTTGTGGGTAACTGGATGTTCTAGAATCCTAAGGAAGTGGTGAAACTCCAACAGCATATGCGATTTGTCATCTCTGTGTCTATGTTTAGTGAACCATTCTATTGAAAGTGTACCCTGCCTGGTTGGAGCTCTCTGTGCACTGATTTGGCTTCATAAAATCCTAGAATCATATAATGGCTTGGGTTGGAAGGGACCTTAAAGATCATCTAGTTCCAATCCACTTGCCTTGGGCAGGGACATCTTTCATTAGGTCAAAGCTCTGCCCAATCTAATATTGAACACTTCCAGTGAAGAGACATCCACAACATAAATATGGCCTTCCTCAAAAATTTGCTATTCCTTACTTTGTGACAAATGTTTAAATTAAGCATATTTGTCAGTACAGAAATATCCAGTAAGAAATGGAGATATATATATAGATCTTAATCACTGGAGGTGTACATAGCCCAAGAACAACGTGCTCCAGAATGAGACAACTCATCCAGCTGGCCAGGTTAAGGAGTGCCAATTCATCCTGACACCTTTGGTTCGTGTCTAATCACCTGCCTACCCAGTTTTGTCAACCTTCAGCCCACGTATGGATGGAGGCTCTGGACGGGTAATGAAATGCTGAGCTTGTTCCATATATCTGTCCCAGAAAATTGCTTCATGCTTACATAACTAGTCTGTGGGCCTGATTAAACCTGCTCATGTGAACTGTTCCAACAGCAATCGCTGAACTTTGGAATAGACTGTATAGCAAGGACAGAAACACAGCTAAAAAAATAACTTCCCCTCTTCCCTGAAGGCTTCACAGCTTCACACTGATGCAGGTTACTAGCTGGTAAGATAAGCTATAGTCCCATGTGCCGTTTTGGACGGCCAGTCTTTTGATGACTCTCACTGTGACTGTGGCCCCGGGAGCCAAAGCATGCTGATATGAGCAGCTATAAAAAGGAGCTCTAACGCTTGCTGCATACCACCACAGCTGCCTGGAGAATCAACATTACCCATGGAAATCTCTGTGGAAGAGTTTTTGCACGCAGCTGCCGTCCGCCAGCTGCGTCAGCCAAGAAGGCTCAAGGCTGTAAGTGACAGTGCTGAGAACAGCGGGAAAGAGAAATGATGTGGCAATACCCTTGGTGTGAAAAACAGTGCAAAAGTGTATGTCAAAGGTGATATGGAAATGGTACTTGAACGTTAGGAAGTATTCCTAGGACAGAGACAAGAAAATAGTCAGTAACTCACAGAACAGTGATCATCCGGAGTGGAATTAATTGATCCAAATGACAAGTTTATGATGGCTCCTTACTCAATGAAGCCAGCTTAGGTCAGGCCACAGCTTCAAAAAACAATTTGGAGTGACAAAGTATTTTCTAAATGGCTTTGTTTTGTTTTCTTTCTCCTTATCTACTTGAATGGTCATAGGCAGCATGCTGAAAGCACTTTAAATTCATGTTGGTGTTGTTTAATTTTCTCTGTCGGCACGAGTGCAGCACTTACAACTGAATCCTGAAATTCCTCGGAGGACAGTGACTCCCTCTTACTTCTCCCACCTCCTTTTTTCTTTCCTGTCCCTAGTGAGTTTGTGAAGGTACCATGCCTAGCAGCTCCCAGATCTGCTGGCTAGGACAGGGTTTCATCTGAGTACTTACTCTGCTTATATACCATGATTCTATACTTGGCCATGTCTGTTACAAGCAAAAGCAAACCTCTTAGCTTTCTGCTGAGCTAGGACTCCTCCAAAGACTTTCATTACAAATGTTTCAACAATAGCCTATTCC